AAAATCACAGAGCGACAAGAAGAAGAAGACTACAGAAGCTGGAGAAGCCAGCTCAGTATTTCAGAATTAACTTAAAACCTGCTTGTTTTCTTTGTTATTGTTCCTAATTTTCTTTTAAACTATATAATTTCTTGTATTTTTTCCCTTTCCTCTACCCGTAAAGCACTTTGTAACCTCTGTTTTGAAAAAGTTACTTGTTGACAGTCAGTTTACTATTAGTTTACCATGACGGGACTATGGTTTAACCTCCATTTAAAGAATGAGAAGAAGAAGAATAAACCCTTATAACCAGAACTTTACTGGGACTTTGTGTGGAGTGAGGTCAAACTGATGTGAGGAAATGGGCTTTTTGTGGGAATAAAGGAAATTAATGTTGATATGAGTTAATGTCTGTGATCACACTATAATCATCACTGACAGGATGTTAGAGTTTATCTTCCTGTGAGGTGATGTTGGTTCTGCAGGTTTGAGTTGGTATCATTTAAAATGTTTTGTTTTCTTGAAGCCTTTTCTAACGTTTTTCAATTATAATATGATGTACTTTTGAGACCATTCAGGAATAACATGCAATAGGACTGATTAACCGCTCTAACAAAACAGACTGCAGCTTCGTTTGGCCATGCAGCCAGGACACTGAGATCACATCCTCTGTAACTGCTCTGGTCATTTGTGGGTTTCAGACAGGCTGGAGGTGATAGGTTTTTGATGCCACAGGACAGAGCCAGGCTAGCTGTTTCCCCTTGTTTCCAGTCTTTATGCTAAGCTAAGCTAACAGAGTCCTGGCTCCAGCTTCATATTTAACAGACAAATATGAGAGTGATATTAATCTCCTCGTCTTACTTTCAGTAAACATATATCCCGTAATGTCAAACCATCCTTTAACATCATGTACTGTACCCGTCATGTTTTGATAAATGATGCAACAAACACATTGTAGTTTCCATTTCCAGTAAATCAGTATTTCTCCATCAGAACTGACTTCTTTTTAAAAGGCATTAAACCTCCATGTTGGACAATAAAATTAACAGAAAAAGACAATTCAACTGAATAAATAAAATATCCAAAATCCAAAACCTAAAGGAGGGGTAGGCCTGAGCTGAGGCAACTTGAACTTGTGATCTCAGTGCTTCTGAAATCTTGGCTGCTGCAGCTGTTATGATGGAGCACCACTTGCACCACAGGTGTAGTTGGCTTAATGTCACACTGATTCCCAACCATTTTGGCTTGTGACGCCTTATCTCCGGTTTTGCCGTGGCTTGTAGCAGTGAAAGTATCCGGCTTTTCTTTATTTTTTACCTATTTTATGGTTTTGCAGAACCCTGAAGAGTTGAAAGTTTCCATTTTGTAAGTGATTTTGAATATTTTATAGGCTTCAAGAGGTGAAAGTGCCTAATATTCAACAAAAAAATACCACTGTGATAGCATATTTAGTAGCTTGCAGATATTATGATCAGACATAACACATAGCAGGATAAGGTTGGTACCAGGACAGATACAGTGATATATATATATATATATATATATATATATTTATATGAAATCTGAAATACATATAATGAAATACCTAAAATTCGAATTTAATCTAGAGGGTAATTAACAATAAAATCACTATGGAGAGTCACAGACAGTTTGGGTAACAGAGGTGGAAAGTATCTAAATACATTCACTGGAGTACTGCACTTAAGTACAATTTTCTTTTTTTCTTTTTTTTTTACCTTTCAGGAGGAAATGTTGCACTTTTTACTCGGTTATATAACAGCTGCTGTTACTTTCAGATTGGATTTTAAAAACAAAGCATGCCATCACTTTATGAATACAGAATCCATTGTTATACGTGACCAAACAGTGTATGAAGCTGATAAAAACAGCTTCACTTTGACCTCCTACAACACTAATGATGCGAACACAGACAGGTTCACTCTGCATAATGATACTTTTTCTACTTGATATACATTTTGTTGCCAGTACCTATGCACACTTATTTAATTATAATTTTGAATGCAGGACTTTTACTCGTAATGTAATATTTTTACAGCCTGGTACAACGATCAGAATGCGTCTTCTGCCACTCTTGGTCACTTTTCGGGTCACTTGTTGCCATAAAAACGCGCTAATTGCACGTCGATATGGACAAAAGCCTCTGAGGAGTGAGAGTTAAATAACACCAAAGACGCGCCTTTGTTGCTCTGCCGCTATTTGAACAATGTGTTGATTTTTTTAGAGCCTCTTATTAACATCTGCAGACTGAATTTGGGGCATTTTCTCCTGGATTTTTTTTTTGGCGCACATCCGGCTGTGGCGCACGCAAAAATCTGCGGCGAGGATCTTTCTCCAAACAATGAGGACTTTACCATGTATAGAGCGCAATTAGGACTCGGAGGGGAGTAAATCTCGCTGGTTCTCGGAGCTGGCGTGGATGTGGAAACGCGCGTAGGGGGGCAATGTGCTTTTTTACTCCCCGCTGAAAAATAACTTTTCCCCCGCAGCTGAGCAACTCTCTCAAAGAAAAACTTTTAAATACCTCTTCCTCAGAGCAAATGAAGTCTGCTCTCTCAGTAAACGGGTTGCAGGCAATGGTTAATTTGGTGATAAATAAATTAAATAAAACCCAAACGCGCCAGAGTCCGCACGAATCTGTGCGTAAAGGACACACGAGTCATTCTGAAGCAGAAATCTTATATTTTGTGGCCATTCAGCAGCAATTACAGCAGTTCACTGTTACACCTCAGAGAGAAATGGGAATTCATTTGGCTCCATTAAATGCGTTTATGGAATGAGAGATTACTGGTATAAACGAACTTACTTTTTGTCGGAGGCTGCAGAGTATTTGGTGAGTTTACTCTTCTCGCAGTAAAAAAAAAAAAAAAAAAGAAAACCCCTCAGTCCGTGTCTGCCTTTCTTCCCTCCCCCTCCGTTTGCTTTTTGTCTTCCAGGATCCTGAACTTCTGAATCAAATTTCAGGACGGACAAAATACTAGGCTTTTCCTCCGCCCACACAGGAGTTTTTTTTCTTCCTGGGTACCATGTCAAACACCATATGGAGCAAATAAAACCAGAGGAGCAGGAGCAGCAGCAAGAGCTGGGGGGGGGGGACTCACGTTCAGTTTACCTTTAAATTCAACATTAACAATAACATCACAAACACGAGTTTATCTAAACAGCGCAGTAAACATTTACACTGGAATTAAACTGCAGCACTCCTCTAATATTCATACACAGACTGATAGTGTGCAGCTACTGTGCCATGACTTCACTGGATCAAGTCCTGTATTTATCACCATAGTATCATTATAAGGACCCGCAGACTCAAGACGTTCACGGGGAATTTCTTATTGTGCTTTTGTATTTTGTAAAAACACACTAAATGTGGATCCACTCTTTATTTTCTTTAGCACTGAATCATTTATATATAAAGGCCCATATGTGTGTGTGTGTATATATATATATATATATATATATATACATATATATATGCTCCTAGAACCCAGAGAGTCTGATATTTTGTTTTATCTGGTCTCCAATATTCCTGTTGTATCCTGTTTCGTTTTGTTTTTTAGCTGCAGCATCAGAAAATTATCAACAGACTATTATTCCTCAACATTTTTTGANATATATATATATATATACATATATATATATGCTCCTAGAACCCAGAGAGTCTGATATTTTGTTTTATCTGGTCTCCAATATTCCTGTTGTATCCTGTCTCGTTTTGTTTTTTAGCTGCAGCATCAGAAAATTATCAACAGACTATTATTCCTCAACATTTTTTGATAACTGCTTAATGCTAAGTAAGTTATTTCTGAAGCACAAATGACAAAAACCTGTTGGCTTGAGCTTCTTAAATGGGAGGAGGTCTTGTTTTTCTGCTTTATATCACTGTTAAAGTCAATATATTTGTTTTGGACTCTTTGTATTTCTATTTGAGTTTCTTTTCCACTATTTTCAGTCATAGTCTAAACCTTCATTAACTGGAAATTTAGGTCTGTTGTTTCCTAATAATTCCCTGGAAAAAGACATTTGGTTAATTAGAGGGAAAATAAGAGACAAAGCTCTGACACTGTTGTTTTAGTTCAGTTAGTTGTGCTGAGGTTGTTGTTGATTTCCAGATGAATTTCCATCAAAGAAATTGTTCCATTTAAATCCCAGTGAAAATGTATCACTTGCTCATTTGTAATTGGAAACTTTATTCTTCATTTCTGCTGAATTATTTGTTTGTAGACACACTTCATGTTTCATTCGCCTGTTATCCTCTGAATAAAAGTCTCGAGAACCTGACATGCCATAGATAAGTTTAGATCCCAGTATGGTGGCAACAATCTGAACATACAGTACATTAAAAGGAAAATGTGCAATGTGATGGTGACACTCTTACATTAATACAGTTTCACTCAACCTCTGACTGCTATAACACAACAGTGATTCCACCATATTTCCCAAAGTTTTCCATTTGCTCTTCTGAACTTCTGCTTTCCTGCTGCTCAGGAAGTGATGAGCTTTGTTTGAACAGCAGGAATGTTTTTTTTTTTTTCCAGAAATCAAAAGAAGCCAGCAGTTAACACCACAGTTGTGACACCACAGAAGGGGAGCTAGAAACCCACAGAAGATAAAAACGTAGCTAATGTCTCACTACAATTCATCAATTTGATAAAAACACACCAGAATAAGGGGATGTGTGGAATCTATAAAGTCATGATTTTAACACAGGATGACACAGACGTGAAGCTTCATTCTGTCCTATCACTGTTACCTCACTGACGGCATTAACAGCTGTTCACTTTAACCTCCTCCTCCTCAGTCTGATCTGCAGCAGCTTTCATGACAAATCACTCATCTCACACACTTCAACGCTCCAGCATTTAACTTAGTATCAGGCCACAGAGCTGAAACACAACACACACACACACACACACAGACACAAAATCTGGTCAAAGTAAAGCCAAAATGACTGACAGAAGAGCTTTATTTTCCCATATATCATTAGGGTAATTTTATTGTATTAAAAAAGCATATCTAAAATATACAGAGAAAACAGCTGTTGATTAGCAATATAATCAATAAATAAAAAATTATGACTATGAACAACATATTTCAAGTTTTGTCATGTAAATATACACAAACACTGGGTAGCAGGTTATTGCCCTGTGGAATGAGTCCTGGAGAAAAGGGGTTTAGGTGATGAATGACCAGCAGCATGTTTGAAATACCGATCTGCCTGCCCTTAAAGTCATCAGGGAGGACGGAGGAGGGCAGGCAGGTCCGCCACAACACAACGGGCTTCAGGTTAGCCAATTCCAACTGGATTCTGCTTTTTTAGCCAAAGCAAAAAAGAAAACAAACATGAGCTGCAAAAGTCACGTAAAGTAGTTAAAGTGAGGGATGAGGTGGGGGAGAATCCTGTCAGTCCTCTGACAGCAGCCTGTGGAAGTGATCCTTCCTCTTCTTCAGCACCTCCCGAAAATCCTCCTGAAAAAACACAGCAGGAGATATTCGGACAGAACGATGAAACCGGGGGAGGAAAGACAGCGGGCAGATGCTGCTGCAGATAACCAGCTGTTTTATTCTGAACTGACTGGTTCAGGTTAAACTCTGAGAAACCAACCAGCTGCTGGAGTAATTCTCATTCGTCCGCACAGGGGGGGACTGTAGGATACAGCCGCTAGTTTCTGTTACTAACCAGGTGTGAAACAAACATGAAATAAACACAAGCTGATAATATGACAGACGTACCGCTGCAGACAGTTTCTCCATGTACGGGATGAGTTTCTGCAGTTCTCTGTCCGCTGACTCTCCGGACCAGCTCTTGATGGGTATTGTGTTCATCAGCTATGAAAACAACAAAAACCTTAAGTTAGCTGATTTCATTGTGCAGCTGTGCGATGATACAATTGCTGGAGATCTAGTATGGATGAATTCTATTTCAGAAAATTCATCAATAACATTTTCAATGTTATTTAAGTGCAAGTTTGGCGATATTCTATATTTTGTCAACAAACATTTGAAAAGACCAAAACCAACGCTGAATCGATCGACTAACAAATACTGTCTATCTATCTAAAACCTTATAGATCTTATTCCTCTTATAGACCTCCCCTGTTGTTCAAACACAATTAAAAACACATCAGTAAACCAAAACAATAAACTGTCCTGCTGCTGTAAATACTCAAGTATGTGAGTTGAACACTGTTCCCAACAAATGCTGTTTTCAGTCCAGTTTGAGTTTGAGTTTGAACATTCATTGTTGAGCTCTTTTCAGAAATAACCCATTCGTTTCTTTTTTAACATTTACATCTTCAGTAAGAACCAGTGGGCTCGAGCCTGAGTGGAAATCAGAGAGAGACGGACAAACACGTCGCTGGTCTTTTACTGGGATTTGCTGATAATCACAAAACTACAGACCATCTGCAGCCTCATTCATTAAAATCAATGGAAATGACACAGCATTAGATTTTAAGATGACACGTGAAACCAAAGCTCAACAGTGCTTACATGGTACGGGTATGTGTGCGGTGCGTTGTCCAGAACCACTGTCTTGGTGAGATCCCTCCCCAGGTGGCTGAGATCTTTGATGTAGTGGCCGAGGACGCAGGAACATTCGTCCTGATACAGACGATGTCTACAAGGAAAAACAGTAAAGTGTTAAAAACATTTACGCCTGTTTCTGTGAACCAAGTGTGTCTTTGACTTGTATGGAAGTAGCCGATGTCTGGGGCTGCAACACTTTGAAGAGGAGGCGTGGATCTCTCTCCCTCTCAGACAATACCATATGTATGTACGTACACAGTCCACATTTGTGTGAATACAATACGTTGCCATTCAAAGCTTATTTGATTCAGCAGTGATTAGGATCTCATAGCTATGCATTTTTAGTAATTAACGTGTGCCTAAAAATGAATCAATTTTATTTAAACATGGGCAGTGAAAGTCTCTTAATGAATATCTTATGATACACTTGAAGACTGCAAATGCAAATTATAGATTTCAGGCTGCACTGTACAGTCGTCTGACATTTCTTTCAGTGTGGGGATGTTGTGAATGGTTTGTAGAAGGACAGGTTGCACACACCGACATACCTTTTTCTAAATTTGGCCTGGGCCTGTGGCTCTGTATCAGTCTCGCTCTTCCAGTTTTCTGATATGCAACTATTTACCTTTACATACTTGTAAGTGACCTTATTAGAAACACCAATCAATTACATGGCAGTAACTCAACGCGTAAAAGCAAATATCAGGGGGTTAATTTGTTGCTAAGACCAAACATCTGACTGTGGGAGTTTCACACACACCAGTCTCTACAGTTTATTCAGGATGAAAAAAACAAAACACACCCTGTGAGCGGCAGGTCTGCAGATGGAATCGCTGTGTTGAGGAGAGAAGGTAAATAAGATAACAGGCAGATTGGGTCATGCTTGTGTGATGCTATTATATCAACACGGAGCAGAATCTTAAAGGAATGTCTCCAGCACCTTGTTGAATCAATGCCATGAAGAATTCAGGCAGTTCTGGGGGCGAAGTGGGGTCCTGACCAGGATTAGATGATAAAGTAGCAGCTGTGTTTATACCACCTGAGGCCAAATGGAAAACTAATTTATACTGCCCTCACCATATGACGTGGCCACATCTGTACTCATTGTAATTCACTCTGGAAGACAGTCAACTAAATCCTTACACGAGAACACAGAGCGAATAACTAATGGTCACACCACAAACAGACCGTGTGACACTCCTGAGCAGCGTCCGGGAGTCAGTCCGCTGGTCACAGACGGGTCAGCAGCAGAGTCTAAACCTGATAGGGTGCAAGTCTCTGCGGTCAAGCAAAGAGTTTAGGGAACACAAGTGGAAGGAGACGTCAGGGAGACATACCGAAACAGTTTCCTCTGCGGGTCCAGGATGTCCAGTATCTTCTCAGCATATTCCTTCTTTGCACATGTGTAAACAAACAGCTGGAACAGAACACAAACAGCAGCTGGAACCAATTCCATATAAACCAGAACTCTAACGGGCATCAGAACACCGTGAAACCTACATATCGTTCAATTTATTTTCATATACAAAGACAAGTAAGATAACGATGGAATTAAAGTGGTTAAATTAAATTAAAATAAAGGGAGAGGTATAAAATAAGTATCTGTGTTAGTATAGGCTCTGAAACCATCTGTTCATCAGAAAAGCCTTCAATATTTAAAGTTCAAACTTTGCAGAATAAAACTTTCATTGGTGAATATCACTGAAAACAAACAGACTGTTCTGTAGACGACACTCATCATGACCAGACAATTTAATTTCATATCAGATTAACACATACCTCATAGATTTTTGCCATGGACTGCAGAAACTCTTTCACATGTGGTCGTAGGACCATGTGCACCTATTGAGAACAAGGGAGGATGAAAGAATGAATGAACAAACAACTTAATATGTATTCCTTCCTCAGTTCCAATTGAACTATCTAAACCTATTGTTGACAGAGCATTTTACATCATCTCAGTTTGTGTTGCTTTTTTTTATTTTTATTTAAAAAAAACAAACAAAAAAAAACTATATAAAATTGCATTTCTCAGGATCATTGGCACAGCGTAACACCAAAGCTGATAAGTGCACATTAATAACACTGAAAATAAAACACATTGCTAATACTTCTGTGTTATCAGAGCTGAGATGAGGCGTTTTAAAATATTACATGGGTGGTTTTATCAGGATTTAGCCCAAAAACTACAAACAGCAATCATTTGCTCAGTGTGCTTCGACTTTAAAGACAGGTTTGTGAGCGGCAGCGTGCAGTGAGCGGTCACCTTGTACTGATGGTCCTGGAAAGCTGTGTGGAAGGTGAACTCTGCGTCTTCGATCACGTTCAGAGAGCTGAACATCAGGGTCTCCTCCTGGAAGGACATGAATCAATCCAACTTGGTTTATTTTTGTTTTTTGAGACTGCTTTCTGATTTTGGCATCATCCATACATCAACACATGTTAACACAAGTTACAATAATCTCTGAATTAAGCAACAGAAAATAAGATCATCTGAAGCAAAAAGGCTAAATTCAAGGCAGATGGACAAAAACAAAACAGCCATTGTGTTTGAGCCTAGGTCAGGACAACAATGTGCAGCTACCGTGGTGCAGCATGTGTATGATGTAATACATGTTAAGCAATTATGACAAGGTACTTTTTGGCAAAAACATGTAGACTCTGAAGAACTTTCTCTGCCACAATTGGTGTGGATTTCAGTTGCTGCTGGCTGATGTAAGACCTCTCTTCATTGCTCTACATCCAACCCACTGCAATGCAATTCATTTCTGATACCTATTGGGATACCTGAACTTGTGTAATGGTCGATACTGAGTACCGATCCGGTGTTGTGCATTTATATATGCTCTATAACAGTAGTTGCCATTCAAAAAAAGTGACAGAAACAACAACTGAACCAACTTAAGGACAACTGGGTAAATTAATCAATTCACTCATCAAGAACATGTGGTGGATATTCATGTATCTGAATTGTTGTGCCCATGTCCCGAGTGCAGGAAGCCACAGAGGCATAAACTCACCAGGTCGACCACCAGCGTGGCCTCTGGCGTGCTCCTGGTCTTGGGGGGAATATCTCTAAGTCGAGGTCGGGAATGCTGAGACTGTGACGGTATGTTCTTGATGAAGGTAAATCTGGAAAAGAAAATAATGGTCTTAGAAACAGAAATAGAAATGGACATAAACAATTTTATGGGATGAAGTGACGCCAACAGCAGAAGACGATGGATGTACTCACGGATTGAAGACGTCATCTTCCTCGTCTCCAACCAGAAGGTCGATGGAGCCATAACCAAATACACCTTGTTCTGGGCTCATCACCACATTGGTTCCACTACCTGGACACTTCATATCTGGACAGAAAAAACCACAAAAAAAAATCTCTGTTAATCTCTGAGCAAGCGTGGAATCCTAATACTCTGGCCCTGCCATTCAATGGGATTACACCCTTCCTTTTTTCCCCATGAAAGGCGGATTTTCTTAAATTAACAATAGCTCTACACAAGTGGAAAGAAATTAATGTGAAACTGCCAGAAGTTTGAATTACTTATAAATTATAATTATAAATTATTAAATGATGGGAAGCTCTTCAGTACTTTGCTCCTTGTCTATTCTCAGTGTTAACAGATGCTTTGCTATTAACAATAACACACCAAAATGTAATATTATCAAAACTGTGACCAAAGCGTTTGGAGCCTCTCAGTGCACAAAACAGTGAGAGTCATTTATAAAAGCTGTTTACAGCATCAACATTGTTTTCAGAGTGACAACAACTTTTTCACAATGACTCATGCTGGCTCTTATAAAAAAAGGACAATGAGTCCTTCACCAAAAGAAATAAATACCAACTGCCAGCTCACCACATTAATGTCTGTCGAGCAGTTCAAGAGGCTCACACTGCTTTTTCCATTTAATGCATGGAGGGTGGGAATTTACCACAAGCCACCAGAAAGATACTGGTTAGTGAGTGAGTTTAGGCCACCAGTCACTTTCATCACAGGGAAAGAAAACACGCTGAGTAGGGATGGATATCTCCCAAAGTGGATGAAAGAGCAGTGGAAGCATTGAGTGCATTTCTAATGTCCCACAAAACAATCTTTTTGAGATCCTGCATTCACGTAGTACAGATTGTTTAAAGTCCTTCTCTATGGCTCAGTAGCTGCACTCACTCTCTTTGCTGGGTGTGAGGAAACGCACGATGGGCGAGTAGATGTTTCTGGCTGTTGAGTTGCAAGGAGACCCTGGGTCAATCTCTGACAGTATGCGCTCATGGCGCATGATGGGCCTGATCGGAGTCTTGAAGGCCAAATCTAGACCACAAGAAGATGACCAGTCAGAAAACACAAAAACAAGCGCAGGAAACGGCATGAGGAATTCAGAAAAAAGAAATGGTTCGGTTAAATAAAAAACATCTTTGAGAATAACTAGATGCTGCCAAACATACCTGTTTCTCTGTCATCGACAGCGATGGCTCTCTTCCTTGGCCGGCCACAAGGCAGTGGTCGCCTTGTCATTGTGGGAACTTCGTCATCAGAGTGGTGGGAGTCATTATCCAAAGTCTCTTCAACCTACAGAGATAAAGAGATAAAAAGATATAGTTATAAACCAAAAACCTAGTAAATTCCTATAATGTGTTTGAATGTGAAATTGAGATGATTCATGAAGAACACATCTATGACGTTTAAACATCTATCTAAGTTTAGAGATGGGCAGTATTTATAAAACATTATCTATTGGAACATCAAAATATAGTAATAGACTGTTATTATGTGTTGTTGCTCATAGAAGAGTCAGGTACTGTAAGTCAGAAAGTGAAATCACTGAATGTTCCCACAGCTTTTAACACTAAGAAAACGTTCAAGCTCAATCAAACCAAAACCCCATTTTGAAACTACTTACAGCTGTTAGTTCGAGAAAGGCGCTTGTTTCCACGTCCCTGCTGAGGTATAATTCAAATCATATTCAGGTCTGGTTTCAAACTGTGACTTCAAACTCATGAAAACTACAAAATGTGATTGTTTAGATGTTTTCAGACCAAAACACCAAACACCACCACAAATGCTGCCCAGAGGAGGTCTTTTGTCCAGGATAGCATGCTGACTGAAGTCGTACGATTTCACCACAACTTGTGATTGTGCTATTATTTAAATGCAAAACAGACGTGCAAAAGACAAAAGACTTCGCCAGCTAACCATTTCAGACATGTCTGCTGTAAAGAAAGGATGCACAAGGTAGGTTTGCTTTTGTCCTTATTTGGCAAATAAAACAGCAGCAACAGAGGCTGTGTCTCAGTCTTATATGATATGATATGTATTTGTTGTGATTTACTTAGTTTTTCCCTTTAACCCTGCAGCAGTCACACTAAAGGACAAAGCCAACATGGAAGCCTATAAATCAATCTACCATGGAGAGCAAGTATACATTGCTCATGTCAAAGTGCAAACAGTCTGCATGCATGTGTCCAGGTGACCTACTTTTACTGGGACCCTCTCTCACATGTAACTGGTCTATTTAATCCTCTGTCAGACTCCAGGTCACAGCGCTCTATATTCTCGACCTCACAATCACATACAGGGATGTAGCCATAAACACTGGCAGAGCTTAAAGGACTTAAAACATTCACCAACTGCAGCGCTTCCCGTGTATAGGCTCTACTTGGGCCCAGTTAGAATAAATCACCAGGGTTCAGCTTACGTAAATATTACATTAGAACCCCCTGCATCACTTTTTTCAAACTAACTAATTTTTGGCCACACATGTCTTGAGTGGGGACTAGTTGGGGTCTACCAATAACTTGCATGTGGGGCGTTCAGGGGACATCTGTAAATTGTATTTCAAGACAATAACCTGGCTTACACTCTCCCCCTCTAAACTGCATGAGCTTCTCCATGCACATCAATCCTACGCCCTGCCACCCACCTCCACAAGTAAATCTTCAACATTTGCGAAACACTGGACTGCATATGTACGACTGGTTTACTTTGTCCAATATATTCTTCTCCCCTAAAATTAAGGAAATACGTTTACAGTATTTGTCTTGTGCAGATTTTTAGCCCCAAAATTGAGAAAATAAGGTGACAATGTACCTCGAATTCATTAATTGACCATCGACCACTCACCCCCACCCAGGTACAGAGCAACATACAGAGGTGCAAATTATGATAAAAAATTAGAAATATAATTGTCAACATAGACATAAAAATCCCCCAACCCACCAGAGTCCACCAATTTTATAAATTAATCACTTTATAAGCAATTTAGCAGAAGTAAGGAGACTGTGCTAAGAAATACGGAAGACATTCTTCGGTACTCTTTGCTGGTCAGACTGTCTTTTCAATTCAATCTTTTTTCAAGGACACAGCTCATGGGGGTCCATAGGAAGAAAACAACGAGCATTGCCCCTCCTCATAACTACCTACATCTCAGCTGTTTCAGATGCTCATAAAACAAGAGAGGAAAGAGGAGCCATTAGTGAAGAAGATCACCACCTATCGTCCGGACACAGTTTCATCACAACAACGAAGAGCTAACGTTAGCGCCTACTATTTTGTTATGGGAACACGGGCTAACACGTTAGGCTAACACCCCCAACGGCCGAAACTGTGACTAAACACAACGAGGACTGATACCACGGACACTTACGGAGCAATCACAAGGTTATTAGAAAATAATCGTAGCAAACGGAAATGAGTTACCTTGTTTTGAAGCGGGCTTTCGGTCACCGATAGGCGCCTTCCTCTTGGCGTCGCTTTGGTGGACGGGCGGCGGTTTCTCCTCGGCGTCTCCAAACAAGATGTAACCGTTTTTTGAGACCTGAGTTTCATTTTTCTTCTTCATATGAAACTTGTAGACATGTAAACACAAACTCCTCCACAGTAGGGTGGTTGCTTTCGTTTAGATGGTTCGCTTTTCTTTTTCCTCCCCCACCAGTGTGTAAACATTAGCTTACTGAGAGTCGATGTAGCTCCGCCCGCCCCGCTCAGCCCCGTGTCTTCTCGAATCACTCTGTGTGGTTTTAAATCTGCCGGGGTGCGATAGGTTCATCACTGCGGACGCTGTTATTGGGCGGTGCTTCAGAATACTCCAGCGTCAACGTGAGACGCTAGTCACGTTGCAGGGCTGTAGAACAAGGTAGTGTTTATATCTGTTTGGCTATATAAGGCAGGAGAATGCTCATTTATTCTAGAGAAACACAGAAACTTTATTTTAAAAGATAGTTCCCCTCAAAACTGTTAAAAAAAATTAAAAAAAAACATGTCAGGAAAAAACAGTTTAATACTGGATAAAATCTAGGTCGAAACGAGAAAAACGGGGTGAGGTGGGCTCGGGGTTAGTTGATTTCCTCATCTCAGGATACTGTAAACGAGGAGTAATCTAATATTGCAAAAGGCTTTCAGATTATTAAGTAATGTATCAATATAAAAATACCCAATTTCAAGAAAATGTTATTGAAGTGCTTAAGTATTAATCAAGAGTAAAATACGTCTGAAAAGCCCCCCAATCAGTGCTCTGCTCTATTATTACATTAATTTATTATTATGACTGAGGAATTGCTGTACATCCAACTTTTTATTGCTGTAAATGGTCAATGTAGAGCTGATGAAGATGCAGTAGTGTCTGCTTCTTTGTTTTTCTCCAGTTTTTTCTCTCTGAAGTTTGCTGACAACATTTGTCTGGCAGCTGGAGTTACTGGTTACTAATTACACAGATTTTACATACAAACACATGATGACCTTATAAAACATGATGCTTTGTTATAGATTACGACTCAACAGCAAAGTTAAAGTAGCTCCATCTCGACCATCTACAACAATCAGTAATAATATGAATTTAATATGATAACAATAATAAAGACGTGACATATTTTACATAACACGTCTTTAAGTTTACTTACTTTGAATGCGAGAGTTTTTGTTGTCACTGAATATTTTATATTCCAGTATTTCTACTTTTAAAGGATTTGAAAACTTCCATCACTTGCTATTATTAATGTTTAAAGTGGGAAAAGTTTAGGCTACTAATATACAATATATGACCACTGTGATTAGCACAAATCTATTAGTCTCTTCTTTTTGTTGATTGTCAATCTACTCAGTATCAATGCTCCTTTCCAATACGTGTGTAAAGTTATAGTTATATACGTTTTGGGTAAGTAAGCCCTCCTTATGCAGAATAAGTTTTTCTCCAGTTAACTAAAATCATTTGTTGAAAGACTAAGACTAAGGCACTAAGTCTTTGATTGCCTAGTCACTTTTTAGAGACAACACCAGTGTGAATAAGTACATAATGACCACATTTTAATGAAAGACTTAGATAACCTAACCATCTAAAAGGGAAGGAACATATAACATTTTTAAAATATACTCATTAACAGGTTTGCTAACTTATAAAAAACATCCAAAGCTCTGCTGACATTTAAGAAAGGTGATATTTTATTAATTTCAGATTCAAAATAAAAGTATTCACACAAACACAGATTGAGTAAATAGGCAAGAATAGCTCTTCACCCTTCAAAAAACAAAGAGAGAAAAAAGGAAAACAAACAAAAAGAAAAACAGTTGCATTGCCCGCCGCCACTTCTCTGTTACCGTGGTTACCGGGAAACATCCCATTCATCAAAAATGTAATCATGTATAGAAAAAAGAGGAATAAGCACACATTAATAGAACAGACTGAAAAACGACTTGCAGTACTAACAGTGGTACTTGAAGCAGTACTTGCTGTAGCACTAGTAGTATTTAGCTGTTGAGCTGGAGGTTCCCTGTTGTTGGTGCTCAAATTAACTAAACAGCAGAAGTGTTACGAACCTGTAACACAGAGAGAGAGAAGCAGAGAGGCAGAGAGAAAGCCACCTCAGTGTCCAAAATGAACCTTTTAGTTCACCAACCAGGGTGAAAAAAAAATCTGTTAAGGATATTTATTTATATATTTATATCCAGCCACTTATAATGTCATAAATACATCACAATATTACAATCTCATGTGTACTATCAGGAAACTGTGTTCATATCTAAGAAACTATACTGGTATGTTGGAGTTCATTTTGGACCCTGGTGTGAGCCCTCACGCCCTCTTTGTGTACCCACTACACTGTAACTCGAGCCCTCACTGGGTTAAATGCATCAAACTGGAGGCAGAGGTAGATTTTCCTGAGAAGAAGTTGTAAGAGACAAGCGACAAAGCCTTGTTTCAGTTCTGAAGTTGACACACAGGCGCATGTGAAACCCGCGCACACACATTACATCACATGCTTCCCTAAAGTAATCACATTATCATCATAATGACTATATTAATAAATCTGCTCTACATGTAATCTCTGTGTGCCAGGGTTGCTACAGCATATCCAAAAAAAAAAAAAAAAAAAGAAAAAACAAAAAGGCAAAGAAAGAGCAAAAAACGAAACAAACAATATAAACATGATATAATCCAGAGCCCTAATAAACCATATTTCAGAAATAATCTATTTAATGAATTTTATTAATACAGGTTAATTCATACAACAATTGTCACAGCAGAAGGCATCTTGTTATTTTCTCATCATCATATTCCCTTCTCCACAGTCCACCTGATGGAGGTAAAGTCAGTGGTGAAGTTCAGTCAAAACCCCCCGAACCCACATGCACCATAACCCGTAAATGTTCTGGCAAAATTTCCATGTCGGCAGCATGTGGGGAACAGGAGTTTGAGTCAATTTTCCATGCAAGACGCTCTGGACCTGGTAAGTTTTCAAGAGGTTATTTTAGCTACAGCTCTGTTGGGAGTAAAAGCAGCAATGTTTCAAGAAAAAACACCTGAAAGTAATGATCTTTTATGTTATGACATTTTTGACGGAGAGGGTTTTGTGCTGATCAGAAGCTCCGACAGGGAGTTGACTCCAGAGCAGCACTAGATTTACTACTTTTACTGTCGGGAAATCAAACTCCAAGACAAACAAAATGCTTAGTAAGAAAATTAGTCCGGCTAAGTCATTGTTCCGATCTGTACAACAGCACATGAACGCACCAAACAAGCAGACTTTTAGAAATCAATCCAAGCTTTTAACTGCATTACCACACAACAATAAAGTAACTTTGACAAATAAAAAATAAAGCCAAGAACTGCAGATGCAAAGTGTCTAAACTAATGACCACAGATACAGAGAAACAGACAAGACAGGTCGTTTGATTATCGATTCTTTACTGATTGTGTTTTCAATTTGTGAATTAATTCTTAATTCAAATACCTTAAAGAGCTACTGACACAACTGATTATTAAAGTGTCCCATGAATATTTAAATGCCATTTCACCTCAACAAGAAGAAATCTCTGGAAACACTGGGAGGAAATGAAGATATGAACACTGAAAATATGTCATTTCTTTGCCATAAATGACCATACTGAAGGAAAGTGAGTCTTTGCAGCCTTCAATCAAACCTTTAAGTTTTTCCATCTAGGAAAGCTAAACTGTTTTATTGTCATAACGAAAATTTCCACTGAGGGGAGCTCTTACTACAGGGGTGGCAGCTTCTAAACTACCTTGACATCACCGATTCCCCTTTCTAAAATGGTTATTAATTAAAGGTGCAAGTCAAATTTTAGCTGTAATCTGATTGTCTGTGGTCTTTACAATCTCTTTCATAGTCAAACCGAACTCTTTATAAACCAGCATCAACAACATCTTGGTCGGTTTTCCTGCATGAACAAAGCCTTCAACAGGATTCTCTGTTGTGGCTGAAGCAAAGAAATCTGCCAAAGCTTTCAGTCTTTGAGGTAGTAACGGGGCTTGATTGTGGTTGAAGGGATGTCAAAGTGTTTGGAGGTATACAGTGTTGTCATAATGTCCCCTGATTGTCGCTACCACACAATTATGCCATCCTTCCCTGAAGATGCTGCCGCGCACAGAGAGACAGAGAGAGCTGCAGTACGTCCGCTGTTCAAATGCAAATATCTCGCAGGGCCGGTCAATAGATATACGATAAACATGGATCCGGTGAAGGGGGGCAGGTGCTTGAATGTTGCCTCAGAGGCCAAGAGGTCACAGGGTCAAATCTAAAGAAGCAATGTTGATCCTTTAGATTGGGATTGATTGAATTTCGCTTTCTCCAGCAGCCTCCCCCTCCAAACCAAAGCTTTCAGCCACAGCATGTCTCTATTTGATTGTCAGCCATTACCAGCAACTGTGACATCTGCTACTCATGAAGAGACAGAGACATGGAGAGAAATGTAAGGTTTCTCTGTGTGCAACTGAGCTGACTAAAAGAGCTTAAAATGATTTCTTTCATGTTTGTTTTTTCACCCTGGGTCCTTTTCCGCATAGCATGTATACACCACCATTACTGTGGAGATCACGCAGCCCTACAAAGGCAACACACAGTAGCTACGTGTTTGATCGAAGCCGAGTTAAAAGCTAGCTGGTGGGATAGCCTTTAGCTGAAGCTATCTAAATTTTCCTGCTTCCTGGAATTGAAAAATTCATTTTGATGCCCAAAAAACTGATTTTTTTATAAGACAATAGCTAAATCTTAAATCTTAAATCATGTGGTTTCTCGACCTTTAAATCAAATATTCATCATGCATTTCATTAAAGATGAATTTACAAAACTAAGTTATTAGTTCAAATAGGCAGAACCCATTTTATTTGTGGCTTCTGGCTTTTCCATTTCTACTGTCCAAACATAAAAGGTAACATTGGTATCTAAATGGTTTTTTTTTTAGGTTTCATGTAAGTTCTGTGACACGGAGTAATAATGATTTTAAAAGACATAAAATGAATGTTTTACAGCTCATGTATCTGTTACACATGTTTGCTAAGAAACTCTGCTTGATTGTTTCTGTAGTTACCACTCTCTAAGGCAGAATGACTGAGAGCTTCCCTCAAAATAACATGTCCAAAGCCAATCTTAACCCAGCTATCTGCAGCCTACAGATCTAAACAAAGATTGTTTTTTCAAAGTTAGTTCATAATAATTCACTACAACTGTCATAAATGAAGCACAATAAGTGGTTTTTGCCAAAACTGTAAGACCCAGACTGAGAGAAAAAGATGTAAATTTCAGTGATTTTTAAGATATATATGTAGCTACACTGCATAATGCTTTGGATAGATTTGTCTATCAAATGTAAAGAGGACAGATTAGCCGTAGTGTGTGTCTCTGTACTGACTCGTCACTTGTCCACGAGGCAGCATCAGAAGGCACTGCCTGTTTAACATGCTACCTACATTTTTCAGCATAGAAATGTACTGAACTCCTCTGACACAGACCTACACTGATCAATATTTCAAATAGGTTGTTGAATCTTGACATTAGGCTCCATCATATGTCAAAACTGCATGAATGCCATTCACATTTTAAAAAGGCAAAATGGTTGAGGTCTGATTGGTCTGCTAGCTGACTTCACAGCCACAGCTGCAAAACAACTACCTCTTCCCCAAATAACTTAATTCATCATGTAAACATCCGTCTGTCCTGTATCTGTGAAATTACTTCTCCACAGAGAAGTAAGCTGCAAGCTGCTCACAAATAAAAAAAATAAACCTAGCTTTCTATTGTCTCCCACCTACATAAGGCTGTTAACAGAAAACGTTAATCTTGCACAAACTGGAGTTTCACTTCTGCAAATGCTTCTCAGACTTAAAAACGACTTCATTGGTTGAAATAAACCTCTGTGGTCGGAGCCAAAGAGTTGCTGTTTTTAAGAAGCGAAGACAAAATGCAGAGGTAGGAGAGGAGGAAACTTTTATCTTGGTTTGCCGCTTGGCATAGATATTATCGTAGATTAATCTAGCATTCACTCTAACCCTGTTGTATGAACAAGAACACACGGTGCCACTGATGCAAACTGTTGTAGAGTCACAGCAGCAGCAGTTTCAGAAATGCAGGTGCACTTAAAGCCGGTCCAAGCTGCACCAGCTACAAGTCAGGCAGGTGACAGCTGTCACAGTTTTGACTCTTGTGCCATCTGCAGGCAACAAGTTACAACAGGTTCTCCTCTGTAGAACTGATGTTTGAGTTTGTTTGTTTTGCATTTGTTATTATAAACTGGCAAAATTAACTTTGTTAACACACTTGAGAATGTTCTATATTTGGTGTTGTACAACCACGAGCTGAGTTACATTTAATAACCACTGCAGCTCAATGTCACACAATGATGTTCCGTTTTTATGTTTTTACCCCGTGTGCCTGTATGAGCCACACCAAAGACAAAATTGCATCAACTTGCAAAGCACAAGTACGTTTTTCTACCTCCGATTATTAGTTGTCTTGGCTGCCAACTTTAAAACCTCAGGCACATACATACACAACAGCAGCTACGTGGAGTGCAGCTGTTGCATCAATGCCTGAGGGTGGTGACATCGGCATGTCTTCTTCTGCAGGTCAAAACTGTTGCTGCTGTTACATTTCTTGCCTATAGGTGGGCGCAGGGTGGTGTGCATTAAACTGGTTTGGCCTTCTGAATAAGTGAGTCACAAACTAGCTTTGTCAGGAGATCTACATCTAAAACAAATATGATTCATGTTCCAGGTTTCTGTTAATAATTTGACCAGTCACTAAAGTAACCTTGAACTTAATCATTATGGGAAAACTGTGGTTCTTTGTGTCATTAAGATGCAACTCAACCAATGAGATCCTGTTTCTGTCTCTGAAAAACATTTTTAAAATCCAACTAAAGTTCTAATTTTCTTTTCTAAGGAGGAATAAAATCCATTTTATTTGTACCTTTTAGCTATTGAGCATTTTATGTTTGTGTTTTTGAATGAGAGTTGTTGGCTATCTGAGCATAAAGAGTACTTTCTAAAACAGACCAGTGTTTGTGTAGCAGCTGGTGGCGATTTCCCACCGAGCAGCAAGTCCAGAATCAAAGCCTCGTCAGCCATCTGGTGATATTTGACTGAAACAGTAAAAACTGATTAGACGGAGGTACTGCTCGCTCTCTGGTCATCTCATGCTGTGTTAAGGCCTCAGAACAGAACCCACATACAAAGCCTGATTTACTTCCTAACGTCAGTAGGAATGAGGCTGCTTTGTGTAGGGGTGGGGTCGAGGGGGTTGAGTAACAATCTTTAACAGCCAACAGTCCAGAGAGGTAACACAGGTTAAAGTTCAAAAAGCTGAATGATTGATCTACTTCAAAATGCAGAGACACAACTACTTATGAGGTAACATGGTGTCTCCGCTGTGGCAGATTTAACCTGTTACAAATCCAACTGCAGTGAGTGTTTGTGCAAACACTAAGACACAAGCAAGCGCTACATTATCAAAAGCCCCAATTAAGCAACGTCTAAAAACAGTCAGAACATCACAAGACATTCTCTGTATTATCCTTGATAGGTGGCGAGCTATGAGAATAGGTGACCCTGTCCTCATCACAGCACAGGATAAGAAGCACTTGGATCAGAAGTCATGCAAAAACACAAAGCTGAAACAAAAAACAAAAGAATCTGTAATCTATGATACAAGAAAAAACAAAACAAAACAACAACAACAGAACATCAGATATGAGCTGAAATAATTGTCAGGGTAAGTATCTTCTGAAGCTCAGACTGCGTCTCCTGACACCTGATTGTCCATGTGAGTGTCACCACAGTTACAAAGATTTAGCGGACGCTCGACTCTTGTAAATTCAAGACAGGAAATCAGAGTTTCCCTGTTTCCTGAAGGGCTTTTATCTACAAATACATACATGCATCTGACTTTAAGACAATCACTCCACTAGAAGGCCAAGTCATAAAAAAAGGTCAAAACTGATCTTTCTGCAGGGATAGATGCTGAAAAGCATTGCTTCGTCAAGTGTTATAGAAGACCGCAGGATATTGTACAATGTGATGAGCAGACGGACACCTGAGAACAATGGAAAACGTGCTACTCACAGAAAATCTGACGCCCAAACAGCAAGAGGAGCAGTCATGTGGACGCCGCTGAGGCTCGGAAAGTCCTGCGTGTGGATGCTTTAGTTCATTTGCCCACCTGCACAACTGTACAAACAACCATTTTGAACTCTTAAGTTTGACGATGCACCTGCATGATTGCCATAGATATGTATTGAACTGGCCTTATGTCAACTAACAGGTGAGGATTTTTAGATAGCCAGCTGTTTCAGGAAGAGCAACCATAACAACTGCGTGAATTCAGCAGGGGCGTCAGCTACGTAGCATTCGAGCTAAGTAGCTACTACCTTAACTCTGGTAGCGCTCAAAAATGGACCAAATATATTAAAAAGTCAACCAATATCTGTGCAGATTCTTGAGGTCCAGCCATTTCAAATTTGCATTTCACTGGAGAATCTGTGGCGTAGATATGATGTGTATCTCGGTACACAACAGGAGTGAATACCTGCACCAGACTCACTCTTCCACATAGAGATCCAAACTGGCTGCCATGTGAATAAGGTTATAAGGTTTTACACAAAATGAGGTCACAACGGTACATGGTTATATGCCCTGAAGAAACAACATATACCTTTAAAGCTTTTCTGATTAAAAATAGATGATATTCATATTTCTTTTTTTTTAATAGAATTCTAAATATATAGATTTTTTTTCCTGCAGTGAGAGGATTGTTAAAGATTTAAATGATAAACACAATAGAGAATAACAATAATGATAATAATGACACTGAAAAGTTAAAATAAAATAAAAAAAATCTCTCCCCTAGAGGATAAAATATCGCTGTCAGTCAGTAGCTGTGTTTGTGTGTGTAAACAGTGCATTGCCCTTCCTAGTTATTACCAACTCCTTTGTTCTCTGATAATCTGTACATTTATGCAGAAATAAATAATTCACAGGTTGTGCATACATATTTGTTTAGCATATACTGGCTCTCAGTTGGGTTATTTTTTTTTCAAAATTATTTTGGCTATGAAGAACAAAAGAGGTGAGTTTGTGAGAGAAAACCTGAGATAGTGTACTTCAAGTGATCTGAGTTTCAGTTTGTGTCTTCCTGTACGGTTTATGGTTCTTCTCTTTTTGGCATAGATGATGTAGAAAATGAGGTTGATTTTTGGCTTTACTTAGCGTGGTAATTTGAAAAAAACATAAAAATAAAAAAAAAAAAATAAAGGGGAAAGGCTGTGGGTTTGTTAAGACAACGGGTTGCTGGAGGTTGAGATTGAGGTAGGTGTGTTCTCCTGCTGCTGAGGGGCAGCACGACCGCTGATTGCCGAGTTGGAGACAGACAATCCAGACGCACCAGATGAGGCCAACCCTGCTGCTGCCTGAGCAAAAAGAACGCCTAGATAGGAAAAGACACAAGAAACACAGAACTTAAAGTTACAAAGCATAAAGTATTTCCTGTTTAATGTAATCTCTATTTAAAAATTTAACTTAAAAGGAAAAGTTCAACATTTTTGAAAATACACTTATTAGAGTGTCAGAGGAGAAATTGGAGTTGGAGTTGGAGCTGAGAGGAAATTAGCCTAGCTTAGCACAAAGCTTATCACAACGTATCTTGTTTGTTTAGTTCGTACAAAAACACAAGTGTAAAAAGGACAAAGTGTGGTTTTACATGGCTAAAGTATTTCTTGGAGAACAAAAGTTTATCCATCTACTCAGCACCCAGTGTTGGTCTTCTTAAAAAGTACAATGGTACCAAACACAGTAACCTCAAGCGGTCCAGTAGCGTCAGACACCCCCCCCTTCACACCTTTTCAATGTTGGACACTCACGCTGACTTGATGCTACGTTGCACAGAGTTGAGAAAGCAGCAAAGGACGGAACGTCCCGCTCTAGTTCTCCCTTTTCATTCTTTACAACTATTTCTGTCACTTTACCTGTGTATAAATTCGGGTCAGACAACACATTATACAAATGACTTCTTTTCAAGCATAATCCCTCACTGTCACAGTAACTGCATCTGGCTGTTGTTCACCATGAAACTGTTCTTTCACTTATTTATTGGTTTATCTATCAGGGATAGTGCATTTTTAATAACGTGTAATAAATGTGCCAGAGTTCATCCATAGCCCCTGAACAGATGTTACAAAATCACCCCAAGTTTCATCATGTAACATGACAGCGATACTCACCAGTGTACACTACTCCATTGAGCTCCACTGACATGCTGATGCTGTTTGTGCCGTTGGTGGTGAGGTTCAGGGCTGAGTCCTGCCTGCCGTCTGTTAGAAAGACAAGCAGAGAGTGAAGCTGTGTTAACAAAACTTTAAACTTACACTTTAGTTTTATTTAACATAAAGACTGTGCTAGATCTCTCCATAACACTACTCCAATACTATCTCTCAGAAAAGCAACTTTGTGAGTGAATTTGCAAAAATGTCCAGTTAAACATTTCTCTGAAGTCACCTGTATCATCAGTACTGAGAAACAGTTTGTGTGTTCAATCAGATAGACAGTAACCCAGAAAAGCTGTGCTATAAGATCAAAGTGCATACCTGCAGAAGGGAATCCCCGCACAAACATGCACATTCTGTATGACTGTGTACATGCATGGTGCTTCCATGAGCTAAACAGGTCAACATATAGGCATGCTATAGGTTACTTCCTCACTGCTGGGTATTGTGGTTGGTGCTAAGATGACAAGAAAGTCTTGAGACACTAACTGTCAGTAAGAGCAAGAATGTGTGAAATTCAACTCATATAAATTCTGTAGTAAACCCACAGCAGGCATGATGTATTTATACTGATGTGCACTCTTGTCTCTTTTCAGCTGATTAAGACCCTTAATGAAAGAACATAGCAGAAAAACACAAGTTGGATGTAAAGCAAACCACAAGACAGAAATTGGTCAAGGTTGTAAATAACCTTAGACTCAGAGCAGGTTTTTGTTTGATTAACCATCTTGAAAGAGAAAGATTTTTCCGGAACAATATACTTTGTGCTGCTTGATTATTGTACTTCTGAGCACATGATTATGGATTTTCAGATTCCTCAAGTCACCACCCTACAGCCTCTTGTGTCATGCATGTCCACATTACCTTTAGGCAATGTCCTTCATCACTAGGGGTTAAAATTAAATTTTCACGTGGACGATATGCATATCATTGATGTCTGTTGAAACAAATGACCCTATTCCTATGTGCTGTCACTCTGATGGAAACAGATAAACGTGTATTAACTTGTGATTAAACAGAGTTAAAAATACTAATATTAATTGTCAGAGCAAGGATGAGATCTATAAGACAGGGCAGTATAGTTTTCCCAAAAGTTATTATAGATTTGAAAATACTGTTTAATTTGACAACAAAGTTGAGACAAAAATCTGTTAGATAGAATTGGAAACCTCTCTAAAGTAGGAATTTTAAACTGAAACTCAGCAGATGGGAAAAAAGCCGGTTCACATTTTTGTCTCATGTTGATAAGATAGTGGAGGACTTTCTCCTTCTAATGTGAAAACATGAAAATCATGTCTGACTGGTTATTTGTTTTACTCATGTTAGCTGGATAGATCAGAAACTTCCCTGTGTGATCAGTACCTTGGTTGTTGATGCGGATGTTCATGGGTATCTGGGCGGTCATGGCCAGCAGATTGTGTTGCAGCGCTCTCTGCAGCAGTCGGTGATGTTCCTCGGCCGGCAGCGCCATCTTTTTCTCTGGAGGCTCGCCGGCCTCCAGTTTGTCCCTCAGCTGCTCCAGAGCTGCCACCTGAGCTGCCATCGCTGCCTGGGCTGCCGCTGCCTGCACAGCAGCCACCGAGTGACCCGCAAAGGCCCCCACTGGCAAACGAGCCACACCGACTCCCGGCAGCGGCTGGCCTCCCTCTTCTTGTCAAACGGGACAGAAGGGAGAACTGAGTATGATGTGTTATCAACGCAAGATATAAATGACATTCCTCCCTGACAGAAAACCAGTTGGTCCAAGATGCACATGGTGTTGTCCCTGGTTAAGATCTGTTACAAATAATTTTTTCATTCCCATGAAATGGTGAAGATGCAGATTTGAGACTCTATATACTGTTGACCAGGGGTCTGTGTTTAAATAATTCTGGCTAACTGTTATATAAATTAAATTATCCTGTTAATTCTCATCCAGCTAACTTCGTTCTTTTGAAGTTTAAGGATTGATTTGTTAATCCTGGATGTGTAAAGGTATATAAAGGTAAAATAAGCAGAGAGATGAAACCATGTTCCCTCATTTAACTTTTCACTTCCTTGGGATTACAATTTGTGGAATACTGTAAATCAGGATCTTATGGCAGTAACACATTCATGTTTAACGTGATGTAAAAAAAGAAGACAAACAAAAATCTTCAATCAGTCATTAAATGTTTTGATGACTCAAAATCTCTTTCATGCTTCTAAAATTCTCATTTTCCAACATGACAGTTCTCCAACAATAAACAGCAGCATAATAAACAAATTTCACCTTTCTTGATCTTCTGGATGGGGGTCAGTGAGGCCCCGTTGGTGCCCACCGTCAGGCCCACACTGGGCGTGGGGAGCTTCGGCGAGGACAGCATGGTGGGTGTCCCATTGGGTGAGTAGGTGAAGAGGGAGCTGCCAAAGCTCTGTCGTCGGCCCTCCCGCCGATTACTGTCGATGGCTGCCTGGAGCTCGTTGGGGTTGCTCAGACCCCTCTTATCACATTCATATGGGTACAGGTACTTCATGTATCTGCGAGGAACACAATGTATTTAACTAAAAAGTCCTTCACACTGAGACATCCTGAACTCAGTCTATCTGAGACATTACTGTCTAGCCTACTGCTGAAAGTTGAATATATATAAAATATAAAAGGTTTAAGCTCATTTCTGGGTGGTGAAATTAAAGTGGCATTCTACCAATGTTACACACCAGGATCACTTCTCTCATAATGAGTTATATTCAGCTTGTGAAAACCAGTTGTATGTTGTTTTCTGTGGCTCTGTAGCAGCTTTGTCAAGAATATATCTCTGTTTGCACTTGGAGATGACAGAAAGATGAATTCTGTATAACAAATGTAGGGCTTTGAGTTTCATAGACCTGGCAGTCTCTGCTGCTTTGGTTTTGACCATTTGTTCATTAATTTGTTACCCCCAAGTCCCCCAGCTTTACGGACATATACAATACTTAGCCAGAGATCATGTCATGGATACCCTGACTATGATGAAACATGGCAGCTCTTAATCATACAAGAAATCGAGCAACGGACAATAACTTTAAGTGACATAAGTATCTCCTTAAAGTTATCGTCCGTTGCTTGAAAAAAGCTGAGCTAAATAATGAGAGGAAGATATCTGTGGTTCAGTTGATGACAGCTGTAGCAACCTAAAGTTATAGAAACTGAAATCACTTGCGATGATGCGTCTGTCCGATAAACAACTACTTGTACGATTTTAACAGTATGAATCCAAACAAACCGAACCAATAACCTTTCAGTTACATTTCAGACCAAGGAAAGACAACTGGAGGTGCAATAACACTCATGTGTACTGACTGTGTGCGAAGGGTGAAGGCTGCACTGGTGATTGAGGTAGGCAGGTTAAGTCCCTTGGTGATCTCTCTCCACAGTTTCTTGTTGATGACCTCCACTAGGCCGCCCTTCTCTGTTACCAGCCTGTAGAGCATGTACAGATCCAGGACCTGTTTGGCCATGATGGGAATACGATTCACAGGGGTTCCTGAACCCACACCACAGCACACACACACACACACACACACACACACAACACACAACACACACACACACACACACACACACACACACACACACACAACACAACACACACACCACACCGCGCGTCGCGCGCGCGTGCGCGCGCACACACACCCACACACACACACACACACACACACACACACACACACACACACACACACACACACGCAGGGGGAAAAGGTCAGGAGAGAAATAAAATACTATCATGGCAAGAAACTGCTTCTCATGTCAACAACATGCAGCTTCCTGAACACAGGCTGCAGAGAAAAAAGACAACTGATCAGGACGCAGAATCAGGGCTGAGGTATAATGACATTCATCATTATTTAAATCAAAGCTGGTGTTTATTCACCTCCTTATTTAATATATGACATTTGCTTTACCTAGGTCAGGAAACTCTTTGTCCCCCAGCTGATAATAAGGCTTTTTCTTAACTTTCATATACACAGCAAGGAGCAGACCAGTGTGAGCTCCAATGAAAGCCCAATAAAATGTTAAAATTAAATAATCTGACTGATCAATGGAGTGTGGATAAGTAAAGCCCTTTGCAGACACAGAAAATATAATATTGACTGCAAGGAAGAAGAGCGTCACAGGCTGCATAACTGATGGATTATAGAATTTATTTTACTGTTGAAGCCTTCATTACTGACCAACATGAGCACAAGGGGCACAAGAATCCCCTGATACATTTCTGCATAAACATCATAATTGAATTCATAAAAGAGTGGATTCTGTTTTCTAATACCCAACGGTACATAAGTATTGAATGACAGGATTTTTAATTGACATCTTTTAATTTTGACAAATTTCATAGAATTTTGAGAAAACATTTAAACATTTAAGTGTGTCTGTTGCAATATGCAAACCAGTATTTTACTTGTTGATGTTACTCAACCTGAGGCTGTTTTCTTGTCTCTGAACAATATACATGCAAACCAAGCATGAGACAAAATGCCTTGGGACAAGACCAAATCAATACCTACACGTTTATATTAATCTGTGACAAATGTTCTTTTCCCAGCAAAGAAAATCAAAGCTTTCATCAAGCTGATCTTCAAATTACATAATTTTAAATAATGAGTAATCGTAAATACAGTCCTCAGGCCCACTTTTAACATATTTAAATAAACATATTTGATATTTGATTTGCATGTTGAGGATCAATGCATCAGTTATCAGTGCAGCCTGCAGATGGTGCTCTCAGATTCTCACAGATGACTTGGCAGACCCGCCCATTGGCAGTGGCTCTGACAGTGTAAACATCTAGTACTGGTTGTTCAGTTGTGAGCACATGTGTGCTGTCTCCCATGTCAATCACCAACCCACTGATATGATTAAATCAGCCATTACTCAACCTGTCAAATCACCAACGCTGCTTGGTATTTATGAGAGAATAATCTCCAATACGCTGCTGGGCATGTGCGTACCCTATATGTGCAAATACAATGTTGTACAATCCACATTTTTACAAGTATGATGGTGAGTTTTCTGGAGACACATTCAAGACCCTGCATTGTGGCTGAGTCAGTGTTTCTGAGTGCGTGTCTGGGTGTGTGTGTGTGTGTGTGTAGTGCGTGTGTGTGTGTGTGTAGTGCTAGAAGTGTAGGCAGGGCCATGTGGACAGGCAACAAGATGGGAGGGTAAACCAATCCATTCCCAGGCATTGATACGATGTGTTCCTTCTAGTTATAGCCTGGGAACGACGCGACCATAAAGCAATCATCTCTGAAATGAATAAAGACCCCACCCATCTGAGTGAAAGATGAGTAGACAGCACTGTGTCGTATGTCAGAGAGAGACGGTGTAGTTCATCCTCTCTATAACCAACTAATAAGAGCTTCTCAATGACACTGAGGAGATATAATACGACAAGAAAAGAAACTGAATGGATAAGCTGTATTTTAATGAGTGAAAGCAAATGTGATGTGCTGATGCAGGGTTTATAGCATTAAAAACATACACACGTGCACAGTTACATACCTCTTTTTTGCATGAAGCTGAAGAGGTCATCCAGAAACTCCTTCCTTTTTGGGTCTCCATCCAGTTCATACAGCTGCGGAGAGGAAGAGGAGGGAGACTGATGAAGACGAGTGATGTTTTTATATCTAACAACAAATGTGTTTGAGATCTGACATAAGAATACCAAAACCAGGGAGCTCAGCTGTCATAAAAACAATCTCAACACATAACGAGGCATCGAGTAGTTGACAGAAAACGGCCTTGATGCCAGTACTGTTGCTATGACAACCAGCTTCACCATTTGTGACAGCGAGATGACCACGCTGTTCGAAAAGAAAGTAAATAAATAAAACCTGGTCACTTATAAATGGACAGTTGTACAGGAAGATCAGACATGAGAAATCAACCAGTTGCCTTCTTCTGATCATGAGAAGAGACGACAGAGAGAGAGGAACAGAGAAATGCTGTGGACCAGTCTGGCCTGATGAGAACCTCATGTGGGTCCAGCTGCTAGCGGGGCCCCGGGGTCTGGAAAGTTCAGTGAAAGTTAGCAGTAAAAGTGGGGCACCCACTCGGGGGAGTACAGTGAGACCATTGAGCCTGTGGTTGTTTTTCCAATCCAGTTTGCCAGTGTGATAGTGAAATATCTCATTGAGTGTTTTTCTATTTATGTGTCAACAAAATGTGGCACACACTTAATACTAACAGTTACTCTCTCATCAGTTACAGCGAGTCGTAAGAAGCATCAAAGTCTCATCAACAACATGTCACATTTATTTGTGGTAATGTAGTTTCATAATATGTTATTGAGAATAGCAGGCTGAGAAACAGAATGTACAATGAGCACCTCCAAACAAAACCACAGAAATGGAGCCATAGTGCACAGACACCCGCCCACAGCTAGTAGATGAGGCCATTATATACCTTTATGTTGTGAGTGCGCGCGCACACACACACACACACAGACACACACACACACACACACACACACACACACACACACACACACACACACACACACACCAACAACAACAACAACAACAACATCCTTTCACTCTGCCCCTCTTTAGATAAGAGTCACAAACTACAACCCACATTCCAATCCTGATCTGAGGAAGAATATGAANACACACACACACACACACACACACACACACAAAAACAACTTTTTTGATAACTGCTTAATAAATGTCTTAATTGTTCAAGCTTCTAACTTCTTTGGTTCCATCTTCATAATTGTGAACATTAATCAACAATCAAAATCGCTGCAAATCTATTTTCTTTCTATTGATTAATTGACTAATTGTTGCAGCACATTAATTTGACATTTGAAATTTGCAAACTGACTTACTTTCTAACCATAAAGCTACATCAATGAAAAGGAATAAAACACCTTTTCCCGACCTACAGGTTTAACAGAAAACAAACTGCCGTCACCTACTAAAGAGTTTCTGCGTTCATTAGCGATGCCAAGCTGCCATAAGATCTTATTATCTAGTGGGTAGGAGGGAACTGAACTGAGGGCTGAGGTGGATGGTTTGGTGGGGGATGCCGGCTAATGTACGGGCCTGCTGGAGGCAGGAGGGGAGTTTTAATTACAGGATGCATGCATTTCGTGAAGTGCCGTGCCATAAATCTTGGAAATTGCCCCCCCCACCCCACCCCCTCACCCTCCAGACCCCCATCCCCCGATGTTGGTTTATTCACTCTCTATCCCCCTCTCTGTCCTAATCACACAAACATTTCCCTAGCAGCTTTCTGGGTGCACATGGGAACAAGGGAGCTAATGCTCAGATCCCAATCCCTCCAGTCCTGCAGATGTGGTGACATAGCTGGATACTGGAGTACACGAGTAAAGTTTAGTATTCTAGTTCCTGTAATACCTAAAGAAAAAGGCTGAAAACCTCAATTAACAAAAGGCAGTTTCCCCTGCTTTTTCCCCGTAAGACACCAGCAGTCAGTGTGAGTGACACTACTGGGTATGAAACTAATTATTAAAGCTGAGTTTTTCATGTGATGACTGTTCAAACACAGCAATTTAAACAAGTGTGACTGCTCCGTTACAGTGTTGAAAGGCAGTATGTTGATAAGTTTCACTGTTTCCCTGCCAACTAAGGGAGCTGGCAGCCTACAGTGACGTGTCAACTGTGTTAACACGCTCACAGTATCTGTCTTACTAATGCATATCCAGTTTCAAGTCTCATTCAGTATTCGCTGTTAACATGGACGCAGTGTCCTGCAACAATAAAATAAATTCTTAGCTTGGTACCTTCTGTTTCTGCTATTTTACTTTTAAATATTCACTGCAAAAACTAGGATGAATGACATGACAACATCCCCTGGTGATGCATCGTGTCAGTATTTAGGATTTTTTAAAACAAGGACAATAATTTGTCCAGGATTTTGTCCGTTATATAATTTGTAGAATACACAGCCTGATACAATCCAACAACTAAGGTATTAATAGAATGTTGATGTGCATGTATAGAGTCACATTATGTTTATATGAACTAGATTATTCTTTAATTAATCCAACTGAGAAAATACCTGAAATAAGAAATGGCCTTTTAAATTACATTTTTAGTTACCTTAATTTGAATAAGTATACTCAAGAGTAATCATAAAGGGGTAAGGAAGGCTTCAATTCTAATCAAATTCCTAAAGAGGAAGTCCTGTTAACACCTTAATCAAATCATGACTATATCAGTGCAAACTGTGGCTCATGGCAGGACACATGTGTCAATCAAACTGCCAAATGACGCATATTCTTTATCTATTCACATTTACAGTATAGCTGTAAAAAAAAACAAAAAAAAAACTGCTTGACACAGTTATCAAATAAAAATTTTCACAAAATAAAGGCTGGATGTGGAGTTCAACACTGGAAACAAACTGATGCTGTAATGTGGTGTGGGAACAACAACCAATAGCTGTTGTTCAGTGGTTCAGTTCACTGTTCATACAATATATAAAACATGACAACCTGTGGCTTGGACAGAAGCTGGTAATGGACTAGTTCCATTATGGAGAATAAATATACAAGTTCTAGAAAAATCATTTCAGATATGTTTAGGCAATAACAATAACAAATGCTCTTTGGATGCTCTGATTTTCTTTATTAAACTAAACATCTTTGGGTTATGGGCTGTTGGTCATACAAAACAAGACATTTGATGGTCTGTAAGAAATTATAACAAGCCTTTTTCACAATTTAATAGACCAAATTATTGCTAATTGCTTAATTTGGCAGATTAATCATGATAAAAATAATCAGTAGCTGCAGCCCTAAAGGAGATAAGTAGCTGAAAAGAAACAGTTATGGAAAGAGGAGATATCATCAAAGTGGGACACCTGTTTGACCAAAGCTAACACATAGAGAGCCAGCCAATCAGGATCCTGTCCAACCGGCAAGATCACTGCCACCCACAACCCCTCATTATATACTTTCTCCCTGTCTGTCTGCCTTTATCTCTGTTTTCCCCTCATTGTTTTCCTCTACTCTTCTCTCTATTTGTCTCTCTATTACACTCGTCCACTTTTCTCCTCATCCCTTAACTTCCCTCAATTTCTATCAGTTGTCTCCTGCCCTCTCTAAGCTCCATGTATATAAACTCCCACCAACCACCCGCACACACATACATAGACAAACACACACACTACATACAGACATTATCAGGCTGAGGTGGGTGTGGTCGGCTCATATAGGTTTTCATGTCTATAGTATGTATGCTGGGGTTAGGGGCCTCTCCTGGATTAAAGCTCTGCTATTCAGATAAACGACAAGAAACTAGATAAATGACTAGAAACTGGGCCAACTAGTAACGCCTGGAGCCAGATCACGCCCCTTCACCAAATCCCCTGGAACAAAAAGGCCCATTAAAACTACAGAGCAAAAGTCCAGATCATTTAATAGGCTGTTTTCAAAACTTAACATTTCATGAACTTTTTTCTGCATTCCCAAACAGATTATAGAGAAAAAGATCAACGATTACGGAGTATACGAGTTGGAGAGGATTTAAACAGATCTTTTGTAACATCAAAGACAAAAGTTTGTTCCGGTGACAAATGTGACAGAGGAAAGTTAACCAAATGCTGTTTTAAGCACCAAGACTTCAGAGCCACATTTGAACAGGCATTTAGTGTTTAACTGTTTTCTGATAGTTTCCCACCCTGGCTGTGTATGTAGGTCAGCGACAGCCTGTCTGCAGATAAATTATAAACAGAAAACAAAGTGGTTTTATATGGAAAATAATCAGTAACCAAAGAGCACCCTGTTGCTGCAGCTTTGCAGCCATCAAAGCAGTGGTGGTGGTGGTGGTAGGTAATACTGTAAGGAGGGGGTGTATGTGTGTGTGTGTGTGTGTGTGTGTGTGTGTGTGAGGGGGAAGGGGTTCACTCTACCATTAATGCAAATGGCAGTTAGTGAGCCAGCGGCACACAAGTGTCACATAGCACATAATAGAGGCTTTGCAACTGAAAACCAAAACTGAGAGGAGATGGGGTATCGCCAACACGTTTCCTTACACCTGCCAATCACCTCGATCACCTTGAGGGGAAGCTGATACACAAACAATCATGAACACAAACTATCTAAAAGTCAAAGTAAAAAAAATAAAATAAATAAATTTAGCATTCACTTCATGTGCAAAATTAAATGACGTTGGCTCATTGGCTTTTCCTTATAAATGTTTGGCCTCAATGCTGTTGCTTGAAAGTAATTTTGTGGAAGGGCCACAACAGCGTTGCCAGCACTATTAACACAAATGTCTGTGACTGACTGATGGTGACTGACTTCATTTTGAAGTGGGAAGTGAGAATTTCTGCTTTTCCGGTCAGAAATTTTAACTAGAACGCCCCCTGAAGTTGAATTTTCCGACTCAGAAAGTCAGGAGAACCTCACCAACCCAGACCTCAAAATCCAAGATGGCTGCTCTCCACACCAACAGAAATGAAAGCTGTAGTAATATTCTGTTTATTAGAATTTCTGTCTTATTTATGTCTCATTAAATCAGTCATACACACATTACTGTTCAACTTCTATCTGTGGACATCTGTTGCTACGGTATTTGTATGTGCAAAATACCGTGTAATGCC